TTCTGAGGAGTGGCTGGTGAGTTTGAACCATGCCAGCCTTCTGTTTAGAAGTCAAGTGCCTTAGGCACTATGCCACCAGAGCTCCCTCATAAGGGATATTGGCCTGTAATTTCTTTTTTAGTGGTGTCTTTGCTTGGGTTGCTGAGTCAAAATCAACTCGATGGCAGTAGGTTTGGTTTGGTTTGATTGCCTGGCTTTGGTATCAGGGTTTGGTATCAGGCTTATGCTGGCTTCACAGAATGAATTTAGGAGTATTCCTTGCTTTTCTATGTTTGAATAGGATTGATGTCAACTCTTCTCTGAATGTTTGGTGGAATTCACCAGTGAAGTTGTCTGGCCCAAGGCTTTTTACATTGGGAGTTTGTTTGTTTTTTTATGACCTCTTCAATTTCTTCTTTCCATGGGTCTGTTAAAATTTCCTACTTCAGTTTGTGTTACTTTAGGTAGCTAGTGTGTTTCTAGAAATTTGTCCATTTCTTCTAGATTTTCAAATTTGTTGGAGTATGGTTTTTCATGATACTCTGTTATGATACTTTTTATCTCTGTTGATTTGGTTGTAGTATCACCCATCTCATTTGTTATTTTAGTTATTTGCATCTTCTCATTCTTTTCCTATATAAATTTGGCCAGTGGTTTGTCTATTTTACTGATCCTCTCACTAAAACAACTTCTAGTCTTATTGATTCTTTGTTGTTTTTTCTGTTTTCTGTTTCATTTTTTCTGCTCTAATCTCTGTTATTTTCTTTCTTCTGGTGACTGTAGGCTTCTTTTGCTGCTCTTGTCTATTTGTTTGAGTTGTAGGCTTAGGCTGTTGATTTTGGCCCTCTCTTCTTTCTTGATGTATGCATTTATTACTATGAATTCTCCTGTGAGCAGTATTTTTGCTGTGTCCCAAAGGTTTTGGTGTGTTGTGTTTTCATTCTCATTTGATTCTAGGAATTTTTTTAATTTCATTTTTAATTTCTTCTATTACCCAGTGGTTTTTAAGCAAGATGTTAATTCAGTTTCTATGTATTTGGTATTTTTCTTTGTTCTTCCTGTTACTGATTTCTTATTTCATAGCATTGTGATCAGAGAACATCCTTTGTAATATTTTGATATTTTTTAATTTACTTGCTCCGTGGTCTGTTCTGGAATACTATCCATGTGTGCTGGAGAAGAATTGTGCACTGTGTTGCTGTTGGGTGAGTGTTCTGTATGTGTCTATGAGGTCAATTTAGTTGACTGTGTTATTTAGGTCTATATTTTTGTTGAGATATAGTTGTTCAGTCCATCGGCAAAAGGATATGTTAAAGTCACCAACTATTATTATGTGTTGCTATTGTTGTTATGTGCTTATGAGTCGCATCCGACTCATAACAGCCCCTCCTTGGGTTACCAAGGCGGTATCACTACGGAAGTAGATTGCCCAACCTTCCTTCCAAGGAGTGGCTGGTGGGTTTGAACCGCCAGCCTTCTGTTAGCAGGCAAGTGCCTTAGGCACTATGAATGGTCTATTTCTCTTTTCAGTTTTGTTATCATTTATTGTATGTATTTTGGAGCTTTGTCACTGAGTGTGTAAATACTTATTATGGTTATTTCTTCTTGGTGGATTAATCATTATATAGAACTCTGCCTCGTCTCTTATGAAGCTTGACTTAAAGTTTATTTTATCAGAGATTAATACTGCCTCTCCTGTACTTTTTTA